GTAGGTTACCCTCTTCGTATCATAATTTCAACGTTAGGAAGTCCGGTTTATTACATTGCATCTTATTTAAGTGAGATTTTGCAAAATGCAGTCAATAAACCTCGATCTCACATTAAGGATAGTTGGTCCTTTGTTGAAATTATTAAGGATAAAAACATTGATGACGATCATGTCATGATTTCGTTGGATGTGACTTCGCTTTTTACAAACACACCGTGGGAATTAATAAAAGCAGCAATAGAAAATCGTTGGGATGATATCTCACAATTTACTTCATTTAACATGGCACAGTTTTTACATGCTATTGACACGGTTATGCGCTCGACTAGTTTTGTTTTTGATGGAAAATTTTACGAGCAGGTTTTCGGTTCGCCTATGGGGTCTCCTTTGTCTCCAATTTTGTCTGATATGGTTATGGACGATTTGGAATCATATTGTTTGCGTCAATTGGATTTTGAGCCCTATTGTTATTTCAGATATGTTGATGACATTTTTTCAATTATTCCGAAATGTAAAGTGGAGGATATGCTTACGATTTTTAATAGCTTTCACACTCGACTAAGGTTTACGTTTGAATTGGAGAACAATTGTTCCTTAAGTTTTTTAGACACAAACGTTATACGAGTTAATGGCAAATTGACGACTGACTGGTTCCGTAAGCCTACGTTTTCAGGCCGTTATATAAATTTTCTTTCGAACCATCCGATGCGTTATAAAATTAGTGTGATCACAAGCCTCGTGGACAGGGCTATTTTACTCGCGGACCCTATGTTTCACGAGAAAAACATCATCTTAGTCAAACGAATTCTTCGTAACAATTGTTACCCGTCAACAGTCATAAACAAAATTATTAACAGGAGACTTAGGGCGATTAAATTTGGCGGTAATTTTGGTGCGTCTAATCGAGATAAATTTGATACACGAAATGCTATAGCGTTGCCGTATATTAGAGGTTTGAGCGAAAATATTACTCGTTGCATAAACAAAAATGGAATCGGTGTATTATATACCGTTCCTAAAAAATTAGACACATTGATAAAAAGAGGAAAAGATAGTATTGACAACTTAAAAAGAACCGATGTCGTTTATAAGATCGAATGCGCGAACTGTGACTCTACATATATTGGACAAACAAAGCGACATTTAGAAACACGTATTAAGGAACATAAAAATAACATCAAAAAAGACACGACATCACACTCAGTTGTTAGTTTGCATCGGACTTGCAACGATCATGAGTTCCGTTGGGATTCTCCTGTGATTCTGCATCAAGAAAAACAAACCAGAAAAAGAGAAATAGCAGAAATGTTCTATATAAAAAACCAAAGAAAGAGCATTAATTTACAAAAAGATACGGAGAATTTCAGTGGGATTTATGATCGCGTTCTTGAAGCTATTTAATATATTATATTGTCATATGTTACATATTTATTTATTTATTTATTTATTTATTTGACTTTGTATTGACTTTTTAAAAAATTGCGAAAGACACAGTACTCTGGTTTTCTATTTTCTCAACGCGTTAGTGACTAAGTTTTCTGCTAACAGTCAACATCTATTTTTTCGTGCTCACTTCTGTCTGTTACACATTGTTCAACAAAACAATGGTTAATTTTGTCGGGGGTTTGCTGTAAATTTGATTTATTGTATTAATCTGGTACGTAAACATATATATTTTTGTAAATTTATAATTATTTGTATGATTAAGCGCATTAAGAGTATATTTATATGTATATAATTGTTCATAGATTACTTGAAAAGGGCTGCAATGACAGCCGAAACGTTGTAATTTAACCAAAATTTTTTAAATAAATTATTGCCAGTCTGGTCGACTTTAAAATTGGAGGAGAGATTTTCATATTTATTACTGGCGACTGTTAAGGATTATCATTTATTTTATTACACCAAGACCTTACTATGGTGGTTATACAAAGAGGCTATTTTAATTATATGGCGGAGAAATTTAGTAGGCAAATGTCCTTGATGCTTAAATCGTGGATCAAGACTAAGAAGAACATTTGCAAAACATACCAACAGCTGATCTTTTTACTACGTTGCAGACGGATGGATATTTCACCTCCGCATATAAACAACGGTATAGCAATTAAATCAAATGTTTTCCAGAGCATAAATGTCACACGTAAATGGCTATATTTCCAGCATCGTAACAAAATCGTGTTATTAAACTTAGAGATAGAAGATATCAACTGCAAATTGCGTGTCTTGCGTGCCAATTTGAATCAGATAGAGAAACGATTGTATAATAATTTACCGTATGATTTTGTCCTCGGATTTGTGGATTATAATAAGCATATTCTCTACAAATATAATAATAAAGAAAAGTGGCGTTTAAGAAAGAAATTCGATTACATTTGTCGGAAGTATTATGGGGTTCGAAATCCATTGACAAAAATAGATTACAGCAAATGGATTGTTAACATTAGTAATTATCGCGTTCCGGATTCAGTTATGAATTTTTTGAGTTTGGGCGACAAGTTCGGCGTGCCCATTTTTAGAAATAATAAAAATGATAGGAAAATCTCGGTTTTGGAAAACATAAAAAACATAGAAGCAAATTATAGAAAGTTTCCTAAGGATAACATCGACAATGTGAGATTTTCAGTAGCGAGCTCAGTACACAAATTTTTAAGTAAACAAAAGCATGTGAGTCATATTGATAGTTACATTTTGAATAGATATGCTTATAGTTCAAAATTTTTGAAATCAAATAGTAACATTTTCGTAACAAAAGCAGATAAGGGCCAGGTCACAGTATTGATGAATCGGACTGACTATGTGGGTAAAATGAATTGTTTACTGAAAGATGTTTCCACCTATAAATCACTTAATAAAAATCCATTAAACGCTCTCAACGCAAAGATCACGACCTTATTAAAATCTTGGTTGGATAATGGACTCATAGATGATTCGGTTTACAAACAATTGAGATGTACTAATGGCAATTTGCCTCGTGCTTATGGTTTACCTAAGATCCATAAAGTAGGTTACCCTCTTCGTATCATAATTTCAACGTTAGGAAGTCCGGTTTATTACATTGCATCTTATTTAAGTGAGATTTTGCAAAATGCAGTCAATAAACCTCGATCTCACATTAAGGATAGTTGGTCCTTTGTTGAAATTATTAAGGATAAAAACATTGATGACGATCATGTCATGATTTCGTTGGATGTGACTTCGCTTTTTACAAACACACCGTGGGAATTAATAAAAGCAGCAATAGAAAATCGTTGGGATGATATCTCACAATTTACTTCATTTAACATGGCACAGTTTTTACATGCTATTGACACGGTTATGCGCTCGACTAGTTTTGTTTTTGATGGAAAATTTTACGAGCAGGTTTTCGGTTCGCCTATGGGGTCTCCTTTGTCTCCAATTTTGTCTGATATGGTTATGGACGATTTGGAATCATATTGTTTGCGTCAATTGGATTTTGAGCCCTATTGTTATTTCAGATATGTTGATGACATTTTTTCAATTATTCCGAAATGTAAAGTGGAGGATATGCTTACGATTTTCAATAGCTTTCACACTCGACTAAGGTTTACGTTTGAATTGGAGAACAATTGTTCCTTAAGTTTTTTAGACACAAACGTTATACGAGTTAATGGCAAATTGACGACTGACTGGTTCCGTAAGCCTACGTTTTCAGGCCGTTATATAAATTTTCTTTCGAACCATCCGATGCGTTATAAAATTAGTGTGATCACAAGCCTCGTGGACAGGGCTATTTTACTCGCGGACCCTATGTTTCACGAGAAAAACATCATCTTAGTCAAACGAATTCTTCGTAACAATTGTTACCCGTCAACAGTCATAAACAAAATTATTAACAAGAGACTTAGGGCGATTAAATTTGGCGGTAATTTTGGTGCGTCTAATCGAGATAAATTTGATACACGAAATGCTATAGCGTTGCCGTATATTAGAGGTTTGAGCGAAAATATTACTCGTTGCATAAACAAAAATGGAATCGGTGTATTATATACCGTTCCTAAAAAATTAGACACATTGATAAAAAGAGGAAAAGATAGTATTGACAACTTAAAAAGAACCGATGTCGTTTATAAGATTGAATGCGCGAACTGTGACTCTACATATATTGGACAAACAAAGCGACATTTAGAAACACGTATTAAGGAACATAAAAATAACATCAAAAAAGACACGACATCACACTCAGTTGTTAGTTTGCATCGGACTTGCAACGATCATGAGTTCCGTTGGGATTCTCCTGTGATTCTGCATCAAGAAAAACAAACCAGAAAAAGAGAAATAGCAGAAATGTTCTATATAAAAAACCAAAGAAAGAGCATTAATTTACAAAAAGATACGGAGAATTTCAGTGGGATTTATGATCGCGTTCTTGAAGCTATTTAATATATTATATTGTCATATGTTACATATTTATTTATTTATTTATTTATTTATTTGACTTTGTATTGACTTTTTAAAAAATTGCGAAAGACACAGTACTCTGGTTTTCTATTTTCTCAACGCGTTAGTGACTAAGTTTTCTGCTAACAGTCAACATCTATTTTTTCGGGCTCACTTCTGTCTGTTACACATTGTTCAACAAAACAATGGTTAATTTTGTCGGGGGTTTGCTGTAAATTTGATTTATTGTATTAATCTGGTACGTAAACATATATATTTTTGTAAATTTATAATTATTTGTATGATTAAGCGCATTAAGAGTATATTTATATGTATATAATTGTTCATAGATTACTTGAAAAGGGCTGCAATGACAGCCGAAACGTTGTAATTTAACCAAAATTTTTTAAATAAATTATTGCCAGTCTGGTCGACTTTAAAATTGGAGGAGAGATTTTCATATATATATATCTTATAAATCCGCGATATTTTTGAATGATTAAGATCTACACACGTTACTATATAAACAAATTTATTTAATAATTAATACGTAATTATTTAATAATAAGTAAAATGTTATTTATATTATTCAATGTACTTACATTATTTATTGAAGCACAAAATATACGTGATTGCTGCGACTGAAATGTAAAAGACACTGACACATGAGACCAAGTCTGCCTTTCACTGCTTGTTCAAGGCTTACCATATAACCATAGACTTATATAAGTATATGTTATCAGAGCCGGCATTAGGGTGTGGCGAACGAGGCACTTGTCTCATGTAAAAAATTTGAAGGACCGCAAAAATGGCAATAAAAATTTCTATATATTTTAAAGTTGAATTGATAGAGACGCCCGTACTAGAATATAGGAAGATCCAGGTTCGAACCTTGATTGGGGTGATATTTTTCGCAATAAATTTTTTACAGTGTTTTAAAATACTTATTAACATCAGTATTATTAAATTGCTCGTAAATATTTTTAACTATTCCGGTAACACAGTGGCTTTATGTGAAAGAAATTGTATTAAATTGAAGTTAATAAAAAATTTTTTAAGATCATCACTATAACAATAAGTCAAGAAAAATTATATTAAATTTGGAAATTCTTTCAATTGAAAATGAAATATATAAGGATATAAATTTTGATATTATCTCTAGCCATAAAGAGAAGAAATATAGTGACATATACATAAGACGTATATATGTATAACAAAAAATGACCTACTTTACAAATTTTACTGTACTAATAATGTATTTACTATTACGGACACTCGATACAATTTTATTATAATCTAATTTATCATTATAACTGTCATATTAAAATAATTCGGTTACTAGTTTTTTGTATTTATACATTTAAATATATTTTAAATGTAAATATATTTTTAAAAAATTATCTTTGACATATTAGATTTAATAATTCACATTTTATGATAAACCGAACAAGCATATAAAAAAATAATATATGTATAATATAATTATAATAAATGGGATTTTGGAAATTAAAATATTGCTACATAACACATTTAAGAATAAAGATTACATGTTTATTTATTTTCCCAGGTCTTAGTCTCGCTACAATATTAACTGATAAGTTAATAAATAAAATCCTCAACGCAGGAACACGTAATATCGGTGGTAAGAAAGCGATGTCAATTTTTTCTTTCAACAACTCATCGGAAATCTCTCATATATACAGAGATAGAGTAGAAAGAAAACAAAATATTACATAATAAGAAATCCTACAGACATTCCGTATCTCAAAAGCGTAATAATAATAACAAAAATAATAACGATAAATAAAGCAGCATTAAAGCTGCGTCTTATCTTGGAAAATGCTTTTTATCCTTCGCCTTTTTAACGAGATATGGAATATCTGTGCAAGCTCTGATTTCTACCGGAAACAGAAAATATCTCTTACCTCAAGTGTGATAAGAGATATCTTTTGCCTCTGGAAGAAGAATTAAAAAAATCTTTATGGACGCTAAAAATCTTCATTATATTGACAATTTTGTTACAAAAATGTAATATCGGTTCGCGAGTCAGGACTCTAATATACACAAGCCTATATATTATAACACGTATATATCTATATATGTTCATAAAGTACGCTCGCATTCTGCATCGTCACATATTGCACACAATAACCACATAATTTGTTAGACTTAAAATAATGTTTGTATATCTCAGCTCTATATTATAATATATACAGTACACACTCACACCTTACAAGACATTAGACAAAATCGTAACAGTTTATACGTAAAGAATCACATTGACAGTGTGGCAGCAGGAGCTACTAAACTTTTTTGCCAAAGTACATCGCATTTGATATATCCACATAATGATAATATACCTCATTAAGATATCATTTTCTTTTTCTTCTTTTGTATCACGTAAATGTTTTGCGCAAGAAATTGAATTGATATTTAAAATTTATAGAATATATTCGCAAATATATCTATAATAATAATAATAATACGTAGGAGGATGGAAGCAATTATACGTCCCAAGCAAACTTGCTACCTGGGGGTACGTACTAAATTTTAAAATTTTTTATGTTGGGAAAATATTTGCGCATAAGAAACAAAAGAAGGAAAACGTGATCGCATAGTCAGAGAAACAAAATTTGTGATGCCTATCATATTTTTATATAAAAACAAAAGGTAATAAACATCTGTCTCGCTATGATTTTTTGCATCGAACATAACGTGACGTCGTAAAACGCTAATTGGCTGGCGATATAACAATATGTAATTTGAGCATGTCTTTGTTGGGACCCACCAGGAAGGGAGACACGTTTTCCGAGACCGAGCCCTGTTGCGGATTGAGCTCCTCGAACGGCAGGAGATCGTCGAGATTCAGGATACGATCCTTCCTGCTGAATCTGTGAATGATCTCGGTGACTCTCGCGATATGTTCCACCCCGTCCTGCAAACCGTAAATCAAGACCCCGATCTTCACGCGCATGTGACTGTTAAACGGTGGCTCCTTGCAGGTTAACGACAGCCTCACCGATCGCTTCACGTGCTCGGGCATCTCCACCGTGCCCTGCCAGACTATGAGGAAAAATTTCTTGAACCAGACGCCCTTGGGATAGATGTCCACCACCCACTCGCAGGTCTTGTCGCCGGCGTATTCCGCCAAGTTGGAATGACTGGAAAACACGAGGGTCCTCGTGTGATATGACGGTAGACCGTGGAAGTTTTCTATGGTCAGTAGCGAGCTACAGGTGTCGACGGTGTACAGTCTAGGCTCGAACAACAAAGCCCCATCCTCCTCGTTAAGACTCACTTCTCTCACTCTGTCCGTTTGACCCGAATGGAAGGACATGCCAATCGACATACGTTCTACGAAGAACTCCTTGTATTTCTTCGTCAACGGCGACAGCAGCAGATCCGCCAGTTGCCGCGGTGACATCATCGGGAATCGTACGGGCGACATCACCGCGATCACCAGTTGATGCAATGTCGCTTCCAACTCGTCCGGCGACAGCTGCGCTCTCAAACGTTCCGCCTGATGATCCAGCCAAAATTCTAGGCACTTGTAGAGCGTCATCTCGTCCTTTATGACTAAGCTGCTTTGGTGTAGCAACGATACTAGAATATCTAAGTCGAAATTCCCGAAGTCCGCGGTCCTCGCCACAAGCCCTAAGTTCCACTTGATGAAATTCTGGCACGCCTGGCTGATGTCGTGGTGGCCGCAGTTCAGCGTGTACTGCAGCCAGGACACCAGGGTGCCGTGTATGGCAGCGAGCGCGATATGATTTCGCATGTAGTCAAGGCACAACAATATCAAATCTTTGACGTTGTACTTATCGGCTAGAGACAGTATTGGTAGAACGACGCTATAGTTTATTCTTATTTGACCGGTGTAAAAGTAGCGCAAAAATTCGCTGAATATGGGCGCGCACTGAGGCGTTTCTTGAAGGGTTACCCTGCTTTCTTGAGACTCGCTCCATTGCGGACTCATCAGCATCACCTGAAAACCAGTCAACATTTAGCATCATTTAGCATCATTCTATATTAAATTTTATTACATCTTTATATATATATATATATATATATATATATATATATATAAATATAATTATATATTAAATCACTCATTTCTATATTAGATCACATTCTATATTAAATCTTATTAAATCTTATATATATATATATATATGTATAATTTTATATTAAATCACTCATTTCTATATTAGATCACATTGATAGGATATCACATTGATATTAGATCACATAAGATTTAATATAGAATTATATATATATATGTATGTATATATTATTCTATATTAAATCTTATATGTATGTATATATGGTATATAAAAGTATTTACTTGGAAAACATCGCTAGAAGCACAGAGTATAAGTCGATGTGCCGGATACTCCACACCATCCACAACAAGACAGATGTCGTTCATAAGACGTTCCGCATACAGAGTTGCTATCTTTAACAAGACTGTACGCGAATTGTCTACCTGTAATCAATAAATTAATAGATAAATAAATAGATAAATATTCTATTGTTCCCCTAAGGAATTCAATGTAATACAAAATATTAGTTTTATTATCTTTCTAACAACGCCAAACGATATCCAATACAAAATTAATATAAAATAAAATAATAAAAAAAAAATATTGCAAATAAATTAGTAAAGATTGTGTAACGACATATGTTCAGGTTTCTTGTAACACTCTATGTACCTCAATAGAGTCCGAGCTTTCAGACTGTGCGACTGTGCTCTGACTGCTATTAACTGTCTCCGCTTTCTTACTGGAATCCATCCTTGAAGAGCCTGTCATCCACCCGATAGTAGTCCGCAGCATCTGCACATGTTTCCTCGACGTGTTTACAATTTAATCGTCGCTTTCCATGATCAACGATGAAAGTTCAACGAAGAGGGTGAACAATTTCCACACAGGTTTGCATCATCATCTGAAATAAGGCATATATTAGAAATCTAGGGTCGACGAGTCTAATTGGGTCAAGGTTTAGCAACATTTACAGCATATAAGAGGTCTAATTTCGATCCGGGACGATGTCCCTTCTGGTCACTCTTGAAGAAGCAGCAGTTTGATATCCTAAGGAACCGTATAGGTTGCAATCGAAGTGGACCAACTTACGTGTACCAATTCGTAAGTGATTTCGAAAAACACCTTTACAGATATATATGTATATCTATGTACCAATGTTGGATGTCAGGTGCCAGCGAAGGAAAGCCGTAAAGCAATCACACCGGCGTTCTTGGTGTAATCAGAGAAAGGATTTTCTTGACTTCTCAGATTACATATACACGAAACTGCTGAGATGCAAATCAATCCGGTCGTTGCAGAGAGAAAGATGAGAGCGGCCAGGCCGGCGTTTTGGCTGTTACCGTTTTTACGGGACTGCTTGAAGCGCCCCTCGCACCCGTTTTTAATATCGGAACTAACTGCACACCCATTTTCTGGCAGGGTCGATAAAGTTTGTATTTGGTGCGAGTCCGTGCTACGCCCATAATTTTCGTGTTAACACAGTATCACGTATTCATTCTGTATATGAGCGATCTTTTCTCTTTATTATATATATATATATATATATATATATATATATGTATTTATATAATTTGTATAAAAACTAAAATATAATTATTAAAATATATATATATATGTATATGTGTAATGAAATATATAAATCTTATTTTAATTAAAATAAAAAGAACGATTAATTTCGACCACCTGGATTTTGGAATGTAATTTTTAATATATATTATATTATATTTAATATTTATCGCCGCTTCTATTAATATGAAGTGCAATGTCAACGTGCAATAATGTACAATTATTTAAAGTTTCCATGCCTAATGTATCATGCCGGTATAAAAGAACGTCAAGTAGCATGCGTAGCCGAGCAACTAAGATGACGAGCTGAAATCGTGGACATTTCAAGTTCAAACCCCTGCCTTTTTCAGATTTTTTTTTCACTTTTTTCAAATAAGTTATTATGTGTATAAATGTGTAATAATCAATATATCATTATTTGATAATTTTTTTTGTAATGGAACAAAATAAATTATTTTTTAATTCTGCAAGGAATTTAATTATTAATGCAAACGCCCACACACATAATTTAGATATTCAATTTTTTTTAGTTCAAATGTTTCTTGCAATCTGTATACGACAATCAGTCCACTCGCTGTGCCACAGATTGCATCGCATAATACGCTCAGAGTTATAATACGATAGAGATCGCTTTACGCTGTTTTTCTTTGAAATAAATAAATTTTACGTGTTGTGTACGCGTGTTTAGTATATTTGTTTCTTTCATATTAATTTTAACTATAATTAGTTTTTGACGCTTGACGAGAGAAGAGGTCCCGAACTGCTGTAAGTTTATAAAAACATATTTTTGTATAACACACTAGAACGATTTTATATTATTTTTGAAGCGTTGAAGACGAACTGAAACTGATCATCACAATCGCACGCACACACACACGCGCATCGTTTTTTATTCGCACAGGATTCGCGAACCGTCGGCGAGATCAGAAAAACGCGGCAAAGAAACACTTCAACGTAATCCATACGTAAACATACATAATATCTGACATATTTTATTAAAAAAAACAAAGAATATATATATATTTGTTTCATATATCATATCAATATATATTATATATTGATATAAATAAGTAAATCAATTTTATAAACTCACCACTATTGCGTAACCATAAATCATGTCTCGCACCCGTTTGTAATGGAAATCGAAATAAACGTTTTCCATCTTTTGTCCTAATATTTGTGCAATTTAAATACACACATTTATCGTAAAACCGGTGTTTACTCGACATTGTAAAATAAAAATAATAATTAGCACCAACACCAAAAAAAAAAGAAAATTAAAAAATGCGAAATTAAAGAAAACAGGACACTAACAAATAAACAACTAACACTAAAATAATCTTAATTAAAAAACTAATTATAGTTAAAATTAATATGAAAGAAACAAATATACTAAACACGCGTACACAACACGTAAAATTTATTTATTTCAAGGAAAAACAGCGAAAAAAAGCGATCTCTATCGTATTATAACTCTGAGCGTATTATGCGATGCAATCTGTGGCACAGCGAGTGGACTGATTGTCGTATACAAATTGCAAGAAACATTTGAACTAAAAAAAATTGAATATCTAAATTATGTGTGTGGGCGTTTGCATAATAATTAAATTTCTTGCAGAATTAAAAAATAATTTATTTTGTTCCATTACAAAAAAAATTATCAAATAATGATATATTGATTATTACACATTTATACACATAATAACTTATTTGAAAAAAGTGAAAAAAAAATCTGAAAAAGGCAGGGGTTTGAACTTGAAATGTCCACGATTTCAGCTCGTCATCTTAGTTGCTCGGCTACGCATGCTACTTGACGTTCTTTTATACCGGCATGATACATTAGGCATGGAAACTTTAAATAATTGTACATTATTGCACGTTGACATTGCACTTCATATTAATAGAAGCGGCGATAAATATTAAATATAATATAATATATATTAAAAATTACATTCCAAAATCCAGGTGGTCGAACAATTAATCGTTCTTTTTATTTTAATTAAAATAAGATTTATATATTTCATTACACATATACATATATATATATATATTTTAATAATTATATTTTAGTTTTTATACAAATTATATAAATACATATATATATATATATATATATATATATATAAATAAAGAGAAAAGATCGCACATATACAGAATGAATACGTGATACTGTGTTAACACGAAAATTATGGGCGTAGCACGGACTCGCACCAAATACAAACTTTATCGACCCTGCCAGAAAATGGGTGTGCAGTTAGTTCCGATATTAAAAACGGGTGCGAGGGGCGCTTCAAGCAGTCCCGTAAAAACGGTAACAGCCAAAACGCCGGCCTGGCCGCTCTCATCTTTCTCTCTGGTCGTTGTTGTCAGGAGAATGACGTCATCTATATCTACCTCTCCTCTTTAGTACCTTACTGTCATTTCGTATCGATAAAACAGATTGTACGGGTTTGCATTCATGCTAAGTTTTTATTTTTTTCAATCAATTCCTTTTTATCTTTATTTTATTTTTTATCATAAATTATTTAAAATTTTGTCAAAATTTTAAAAAATGTTATCAAATTTTAACATATATAATTCGTTTTTTGACCATATTCAATAAATCATCTTTTCTAAAATAATAGAACCAAGAATCTATATGCAAATATATTATAAAATAGTTTATATATAGAATATATAATATTTTTTTCGAATTTATAAATTGTGTGTGTCAGTAATATAAAATTATAATATTTAAAATAATGCGATTAAATTTTATTAGAAGGCTTAAAAATTATAATACTGCGTTACATTATAAATATCAATAATTATTATAATATTATTAATTTAAAAGTCTTGATATATGAAATACAAATATAATAATACGCAATAGAACTTGTATTATAAAATATAAAACTACAGATAAGGTATGAAAACAGAAAAAACTGTTGTATTATATGGATGTTAGATTATCTTTATTTTATTACATCTGTTTAAAAGACATAACTTATTTATAAAAATATGGGAGCGGATAGCGCGGGGCTAGGATATAATAGGACCAAACAAATCCTTATAATTCATCGCTTATTGCGAATAATTAATGCTAATAAAATTCAGTACTTTTTACAGATTACAAGGAATAACAAGATCTCTATTTGAAAAATAATCGGTGTGTTGCTTAACTTACATCGTAAATAATTATTATTATTAATATTATTATTATTATATCATAATGCCTAGAACTATACCGCTTGTATTTTAACACAGAGAATGATATGGTGCAGCAGAGAGCAGTTTTCGTTAAATTTCAAACACATGATAAAAAATTGCCCAACACTTTACATTGTTACGTATAATATCTATTATGTATTGCTTATCTTTCTTTCCTTATTTTTACAAACGAGAATCGATTACAGATCTTCATTCTTACTTCTGGATTTCATTACACGCTTTACAAAGTTGTACTTTTAGTCACATTTGTGTATAATTGGTTCGCTTAATTGTGACAGAGTATATTACGAGAGAATAGTTACAAAAATATATGTGTATATATAGACTTCTTATAAAATACTTATATACTCTTTTCTCTTGTATGCGTACATCTTATGCACTTATTCATTATTATTCAGCAGACTCTGTATGGTTTTGATGATATGTATGGGCAGTTATAAAGAGATATGTGTATAATAATTTCTTTTAAATAATGGGAGTAAAAAAAAGATATTCTCTTTTCTTATAAAAAAATACATTAGTAGAGAAAACAGACGCTGAAATCACGTGGGATCTGTGAAGTTTCCTGATCATGATAAAAAAGAAAAGCTTCGTGTCTCACACCGCTATATGTAATCTAAAATTGCATCAAGTGCATCTCACATGCATCACACATACATATGTGATCCTTGACGTAACAGTAAATTACATATGACATACAATACAATTATGTAATAATAATATAATGAAAAAGAGACGTGTGATTATCGTATGCGGTATACATCTTACAAAAGTAAGATATAATACAATACATATAAAATGTAGCAATATATATATATATATATATAAACTTACGAAATATATATATAAAAAATATGTAAAAACGAGGGTGTATTTGTACAAAAATTCAGGAGAGAAAAGACAATTATATATATAATATATAAAAAGTACTTGAACAAGTACAGTAGTAAAAGATACGAGCTGATAGAAGATGAAGAGGAGTATTTACATTTTACATTTGTCATCTTTCAATACAAGATTAAAACTGATAAAGGAATTCGACACGATTCTACAAACAAATTATACCGATGATATTATTGCAAAAGTGCGCGCACGAACTTTCTTCATCCCGCAATAATAATTAATTCTCTTCTCTCTCACTCATACATACATATGCACACATAAATTCTTTCCTTTTTTTCACACATTCGCAAACAATTTCTACAAGTGATCATTACGTCATTATTACTCATCATTACGTATATCATCTCAGGTAGCAAGTGTACGTCATTTTGATGTCTATGACGTCGTTTGACGTTAAACGGTGTCTTTTTAACGTTTAATGACGTCAATTTGCTACTTGGGATTATTCTGTACGCGTCATGATTGTTTACTATTACTTAAAAAAAAAAAAAAAAAAAAAAAGGATTTTGGCTTTAGCAGAGAAGAGACCAGAGAACTGTCCTACCGCTCCGCGCCGAGTACTTAATTAAAGGCGATCGATACACACTTAAAGATTAACGTTAACGATTTACTCTACTTTATTAATGATAAAATGATTTTCCGACGGACATAATATAATGAGGGAGAGGGATAAGGGAAGGAAGAAGTGTTGGCGCGCCATGGAATGTCTATGTATGGAACGATGCGAGCTGCGAAGGACGAATTCTCTGAAGCTCCCGTCGACCGTACACGTTATTGGAGATGTCCCGTCGTCGTCTCTTCGTCTTACATATTACATTACGTTACATATTACATGGGTGTCGCCGATAATAAAAATAAAAAAGGGAACTGGTATCTCTAATATATATATATCGACCAGTCGTCATAAACATTCGATTCGTTTAGAGGCCATTTGGAAACGCTGCGTTTCTTCTCTAATATAATTTAATAATAGATTCATCTATAAAAAAGAGACCCGCGTGTCTTGTACTCTACGAAATTCGAAGGCACAAATTCTTTTTATATACGTCATATTATAGTGGATAAGCCTATCGTTCAGAGTCCAAAAAAATTGAGCTATCAAAAAAAAAAAATATATAGGGGATGTTTCTAAGTGTGAAAAATTTTAGGAGATGATTCTTTGTCGAAAGTTAAGCAGGGTTTTTCATATAAATATATATTTATATCCTTCTCTGAAGAGTTATACTACTTTAAAAAGAAAGTAAAAATTAGATTTTTAACTTTTTATATATTTGTTAAATAATCTTCTTGTATCGTTATAAGAGAATGAAATTAAGAACTACAATTCAATTTTTTATTAGAACTTTTTAACAGATCGGAATGTGATCATCTAAAAATACCCGTCAGAAAGCTTAATTCCTTTATAAATTTGTTTACTTATTTTATGTTTTTCGTAAAGTTAACAGTTTACAAAAAAAATAAATATAAATAACCCAATTTTCCCAATCCAATCTCTTTTTTTGAAGGAGTGTAACTCCTTGAGGAGAGATATAGGATACTATATGTATGTTTAAATGAAAAACCCCTCTCAATTTTCAATTGACAAAGAATCATCTAAAGTTTTTGTACTTAACAACAATCTGTATATATCATATATAATAAACAAAGATAGGTTCAATTCAATTTTTTCAAGTGTACAAGATGTGCACCTGATGCATTAGGTACTAAAAATAAAATATACCTCTCCGTGGAATAACAGACACAGCGGCGAACGATAAATCTATTACATAGTATATATACAATTATTGTGCGTAGAGTAGCAAGGTCTCGTTCCTCCCTTATAAATTATTATTGTCCATCGGGGATATCTTCACACTGGCAAGTCGAAGGCACTGTTCATCATTCATTGAGCTGTGTATATATGACGCGATGAATATAAAAATCGACAGATATCAAAAATATATCGGCTATTTTTTATAAATTTTCCTAAATGTCGCGTCGTATTAGAGAGGCACAATCGGTTTTTTTTTGCAATTTGAGTATGTCTTATAATATCTCTGATCGTTTAAAATCCTGTTTCCCCTCCTCCTCATATACATATATATATGCAATTACATACATACATTTATCTATATATTTATACGCATCAATGTTGAGCAAGACATATATTCAAGAATCAGATTAATAATCAGTGCTTGTTGTTATCTAAATATAATTAAATAGATAATCACCTAGATGAAATTATAGCGTTATATTATTTTTATATAAAATAAAATAATAAAAATTTGCATTATCTAAAAAGTATTATCTTTGCTAAATTGTCTAAAATAACGTTCACATAATGGTCGGTTTAGAGCATAACATATAAAAATATTTAAGTAGTAGAACTTGGGCAGTAAAAACTTATAAACTAAAAATATGAATATATATAAAATATGAAATTTTTATATCTCTTTTATAATTAAAATGTTTCATAGCTGTGTTTACATAAACAGTCTTAAAAGAAATATTTTCTGCAATTTATCTAGATGAATCGCTATATAACTTTATCTAGATATATTTAAAACAAAATTCATCATTTTACCTAAGATGAATTACTTTTATCTCATCTTTATCTAATTTTAGAATCATTTAATAAGCACAGCATTGATAATAATCGTTAACAAACGATCTTTCATTCAACTTAGCATTGATACGTATCAATATACATACAATAATAATAATAATAATAATAATAATTAATTGTGGCGCGAGCGTCGTGGTAGCTCTTCACAGAAACACAAACGAACATGAAGAAAAATACCTTCTTGCCACTATAATTTAATTACGGCCCTAGAAAAAAAAGAGTCCTTATCAATGTATCTTATCGGTCGTCCATGTCTCGACACTTGTATATAGAGAGACGCTCGAAATTCGACGAGCTGATAATCACAGTTCGTATACCTAATCTCTTCTCGTCCCTCTCCCACCATTCGCTCGCGCGAGGAGGAGAGCACCGTTACACCAGTCTCATATGTAGATCGCCTCGGAGCCCTTGTTGCTTTGGTGAGCGCCGCCGCCGGCGCCGTAGGCGTTCGTGGGCGAGGCTATGCACTCGGACCAGTCGCTGTTGGAGTGCGGCGAGCTGGAGGACCAGTGACCCGGACTGTCCGGTGACGGCGTGGGAAAGCTCTCCGGGGCCTGCATGAGATGCTGGGGCGTGACATCGGGTCCGGAATGATGGGACGGCGGCGTCAAGTAGTAGAGTTGCTGCTGCTGCTGCGGCTGCTGAGACTGCTGCTGGACCTGTTGCTGCGTCTGCTGCATCTGCTGTTGCTGTTGTTGTTGCTGCTGCTGCTGCTGTTGCTGCTGCTGCTGCGCCTGACTCGCGTAGGGCAAAGTGTCGAAATCGAAGCCCACCGGCGGCATGCTGCCGTGCTTCTGATGCGTCGCCTGCCTCATCGCGGCGATATGGGTGGGTGAGGTGGGTAACGACGGCCGACTCTTCGCCGGCGAGGGCGAGCCCATGTAGCTGGCTTGCGGGGAGAGAGTCATGTTGGACTGCACCGAATGTGGAGGCGATTGGTTGCTGTACGGGGGCGACAAGGTGTTCACCATACCCTGTTGCTGCCGCTGATGCGGCGCTAGGAGCTGGTCGTGAAACGGCAGCCCGTAATTGAAGGTGTCCAGGCCGAGTTGCTGCAGACCCTGCATCGACTGGCCCTTGATGCAGTCCTCGTAAGGCGGTGGTTGCTTCGCCGTCGTGGTATGCGCCACCAGGGGTAACGCGTTACTGTACAGACTCGCGCTGTCGTACGGACTCGTCGGCAGGTTGCCGTCTGCGCCCTCGGCTCCTTGCGGGATCTCCTGGTGCGGCGGCTGGGCGCCACGTTTCGCCGGCGGCTTCTTCACCGATGGCTTTCGTCTCACCATCACCGCGCCGCCTTCCGACTCCGGGCTGTTTGGGTTGCCCACTCCGCCCGCCTTCGGCCGCTTCTTCGACTTGCTCTGCTTCGGCGCCGAACCGATCACCGTGGGATGCGTGATTAATTGAGGATGATTCGGGGAGCCTGCGAAGAAAAATCAGAGTTACGTTACATGCGACGTTACGTACAGAAAAGCCCATTTCAATCGATCACCCTCCAAAATTTTATTTCTCATTGTACAATAAAATGCTTCGAACAAAAGTTTGATGCCAACAAATATATAGTCGTTCAATTGATAAAATGACATAAATGATCTTCAAACAACCTTGAAAAGCGTTCTTTAGGAACAAATCAGTTTTTTTGATAGTGATCGATTAAAATGAGACACCCTGTATAAGTAAATATAAAACAGAGGTGGAGAACAAAGACGCTTACCCATGAGAGGACCATTCGGAATGACCGTAACCATCTGCGGCGACCTGGGCACGTGTTCGTCGAGTAGTCTGACGATATCGTGATGCAGTCTCTCGCTGGCGACGTCACGCGGCAGTCGGTCCATGTGATCGGTGATCTCCCGGTTGGCGAACGTGTCCAAGAGGGCTTTGCACGCCTCGAAGCTGCCCTCGCGTGCGGCGAGGAACAACGGGGTCTCGTCCTTGTCGTCCTGGGCGTCTCTGTTCGCGCCGTGCACCAACAGTATATTCACGGCGTCGACGTTATTCACCGCGGCCGCCCAGTGCAGCGCGGTCTTGCCGCTGTTATCCGCGGCGTTGATATCCGCGTCGGCGTTGATGAGATCCTCAACCATGCGCTCGGTAGCCAGACGAGCTGCCAGTATCAGTGGCGTCGTCCCGTCGTGCATGCGCGCGTTCAGATTCGTCGCCCGATTGCGCAAGAGAATTTGGAAAACGCCCATGGCGTCGGCCGCGACCGACGAATGCAGCGGAGTACGTCCGGTGTTGTCCTGGGAATTCGCGTCGGCACCGGCGTCCAGGAGTCTCTTGGTCGCGTCCGACCTGGCGTAACGCGCTGCCAGGTGCAGCGACGTCTCGCCGCTCTTGTCCGTGGTCTTCGCGTTCAGGTCCGCGCCCTGAGCGACCAGGTCGGCGATCTTCGCCGCGGCACCGTCGCTCTCGTCCTCCTCTTCGCCGGTGTCCAAGCCGCCGCCACGCATCGCCGCCACCATCAGCGGCGTCATGCCGCACGGGCCGCGCGCGTTCACGTCCTGGCCGTGTTCCAAACTGGGAGGTGTCAGGACGCCAGCCGCGTCCGGCCGACAGATCTCCGCCGCGTCCAGATGCTGTTGCGTCCACATGCGCGGCTCGGTCTCTTCGTAGTCGGTGATGGCGGTGTGATCGCTGGCGTAACCCGGTTCGATCGCGCGCATCCGCTTCGACGGCGGCAAATCCGACTCGTCGTCGGACCACTGGGACTGGACCCGACCGCTCACCACGTCCAGGTCCATGCAGTTCACCGACGGCTGCTTGTTGAGATTCCGCATCTCCTGGCCGTCCGGACCGCGTCGACGCGAGCGGCGCCGTTGACCGCTGCCACTGTTGGTCCTCAGGAAGCCCTCGGGGAACCAGGTGACTCCCACGGCGCGTTTCCGCTGCGCGGTCACCAGCACGCCCATCAGCAACGCGGCCAGTACCACGATAACCACCCCGATGAAGACGTATTTGTAATTGGTCGCGCTGTCGGAATACGCCGGACTCTGGGGCATCACTACACCGCGTACCTGCTCAATGGGGAAGTTTCCCAGCAGGGTGTGCTTCGACGCAGTGGCGGCCAGGAAATCGGCCGCCTCGTTGGCCGATGGGAAGCATCCTGTGACTTCCCGTTGGGAAGTATTGAGAGTGGCGGCAGTCGGAAAGCATTTACGGTTATCGAGCTCCAAAAAGATGATTACGCCCTTTCCAGAAAACGTTTCCAACATCATTGCCGACCGGCCGAAGATTTTGGCGATGGCTTGCATATCGACTTCCCTGTCACTGCTCACAGGGTATATCATAGCTTGGCCCAGTTCGTCATACTTCACGCGTGTCGTCGTTCTCAGTTGATTCCCGATTTCCCGTAAGAAGGACACGATATTCTTGCGGAGGGTGTCTGCGTCCATCCTCAGCATAAAGACATGGCACCTTTCGCCAACGACGGTGGTTCCCTGTCACAGTCCAGGCCATCCCAGTTACACTCTTCGTTGTTGCAGCCGTAATCGCAATGGCCGTTCGCGTAATGTTTCTTGCAGTAGGCGTCGTAAACCGGACTGTAAAGAGCAAAGAAGGTAGTAAGTAAAAATGCAATAAATATATAAGTACATAATAAAGTTCCATATAGAAGACAGAGATCTAGGAATACGCTGATGAATGAAGAGTCTGTTCTAAATACTCACTTGCAAGGAGCGACCTTTGGCCCGCAGTCTCTACCGTCGAAGAGACACTGGGCATTGTTGCAGACCTCGTCGCAGACGCCGTTCATGAATACGTCCCAGCATCTGATGGGCGCGGAGCAATTGCGCCAGGGATTGATCCCGAGCGAGCAATCCTCTCCGTCGAAGTTGCACGCGTGGGTGTTGCACTCCTCGTCGCAGACATTATTCCTGGCCTTCTGCTTGCAGCGGTTCTCCGTACACTTCCTCCGCTCGCGTTCGGTATTGTAATCGTACGCGTCCACGATCTTCGGCACGTTGACGTTGGACCTGCTGCCGAACACCCCACCGGGATAATTCGGACTGTAGATCTCGCAGTTCTTGCCGAACCACTTCGGCGGACAGTCGCAGGCGTAGTCGTCGATCTTGTTGACGCAAGGGGCGTCCTGCTGACACGGGTTACTCTTGCATTCGTCCCGGCCGTCGAATTCGCAGTGCGTCCCCATCGTGCCGGGGTACAATAGCACCGAAAACCAGTCTCGGTCGCGCGACACGTGCCGCCGTTTTGACAGGGTTCCTGGTCGCAATAGGATCCGGCAAACTCGCAATTGGTACCGTGATAATCGGGAGGACACGTACACGCGTGTCTGTCCTGCTTGGCCGTGCACACACCGCCGTTCTGACAAGGCGAGCTGTCGCAGAAGTTGACCTTGACCTCGCAGTGACGACCCATGTAACCGGGCTTGCAGTTGCAGTGATAGTTGTTGATCAGCTGGACGCAGTCCTGGGTGCCGGAGGTGGTGCATGGATTCGACAGGCACTCGTTGATATCGCCCTCGCATCTCGGCCCGACGAAACCGGGCGGGCACTTGCACTCGAAGCCGCCGACCTTGTCGGTGCACGTGCCGTTGTTGTGACAGGCGCCTGACGTGCAGTCGTCGACGTTGATCTCGCAGATGAAGCCGAGAGTGCCGGGCGGGCAGGAACAGCCGAAGGTGTTCACCTGATCGTGACAGGTGCCGCCATTCTGGCAGGGATTCGGCTGACAGTCGTCAACGTTCAGCTCGCAGTTCTGACCCTGGAAGCCCTTCGTGCACTGGCACTGATACGAGCCGACGAGGTCCTTGCAGGTTGCTCCGTTCTGACAGGGCGCCGAGTCGCACTCGTCGATCTCCTCCTGGCAGTAAGAGCCGGTGTAACCCTCCAGACAGTGGCAACGATGACTGTTGCCTATGTCCTCGCAGGTGCCGTTGTTGCAGAGACTCTTCTCCGGCACGTTCTTCCGTATCGCCGCGTCCTTGCACGAGACCATCTCGACGTCGCAAACCTTGCCGGTCCATCCTGGGGAGCAGTTGCAGTGATATTTGTTCTTCGTCTGCACGCAGGTCGCCTGATTCTCGCAGGGATTATCGGCGCACCAGTCCACGTAGGTGTCGCAGTGCGTCCCGGTGTAGCCGTACGGGCAGTGACACGAGTAATACTGCACGTGGTCGTGACAGGTGGCGCCATTCTGACAGGGCGAGCTGTCGCACTCGTTGATCCGGTACTGACAGTTGGATCCGGTGTAGCCGTGCTTACAGACGCAAGTATAGTTGTTGATGCCGTCGATGCATGTACCGCCGTTCATGCAGCTACTGTCGGTGCAGTCCTCGTCGTTGGTCTGGCAATTGATGCCGGAGAAGCCGCGCCGGCACTGGCACGTGTAGGAGTTGACGTACTCCTTGCAGATCGCTCCGTTCTGACAGGGTTGCGACAGACACTCGTCGATGTCGATCTCGCAGTGCTTGCCGCTGAAGCCGTCCACGCAGAGGCACGTGTAATCGCCGATGCCGTCCAGGCAGGTGCCGCCGTTTTGACAGGGAACTGTGAACGAGAGAACAATGTTCTTGAATGGTTTGTTTGAGAAGGAACAAAAGGAAGGTGAAGAAGCGCGTTTAATTTAAGACAGATGACGCTCTCTCCGCGGATTCGCATTAAGGCTCTCTCGAATGGGAGCGCAAAGGCGGATCTGCATCTGTAGCGAAACTCGTAAAGAACAGCCGGTACTCACATGATGCACAGTCATCGGTATTGATGATGCAATCACGGCCCTCGTAGCCCTTCGCGCACACGCAGTGGTAAGAGCCGTTGGTGTTCCGGCAAGTGGCACCGTTTCTGCACGGAGATGTCATCACGCATTCGTCGACGTCCTCGTCGCAGAGCCTGCCCGTGTAACCGACCGTGCATGTGCACGCGAAGTCGAGGAAGTTCGACGACGGCGAGCACTTCGCTCCGTGGAGACATCTGGAAATGACGCAGCAACGCGATTACAAAGTCGTTATTGTGTGTCTATAGAGCGTTTTGTCAAACGAAGCTTCGTTGGAAAAAAAAGCGAGAGCTATTATGTAGTAGAATCACAATGCTATGGAGAATCGGTTGAAGTGTAAGAATGATTTTGCGCAAGTGAGTTGCAGGCTGTAATAATTGCATTTTGTATTATATTCAATAAATTGTAAAAAAGTCCTTGTTTCTTCTTTTCAGTAATATATTGAAATTTTTCAATATCGTCTAATTTCGAAAATCGGCCTCTTTCCAAGACTGGTTTGTTTTTTGAAAAATATTGAAGTTCTTGAATATCAGAATCTAATTTTGACAATCGATTTTTTTCATAGCTTGTTTATTTTTTTAATATTAAAGTTTTTCGATCAGAATCTAATTTTAAAATTCCGTCTAATTTCGAAAATCGATTTTCTTCCAGATTTGAATAAACCACATTCTAAAACACTTCGATTCTGATTAATACAACAGCTTGCGCAATCGCACATAACAAACAACAATATCAACTTTACAGTTTCACAGTAGGCAAATACATATCTCTAATCAACGTTTCGCGCAAATAAATTTTCGGAACAGAGAATCGTACTTGTTCGGCGAGCAAGGGTCCAGCTTGTCCTCGCAATTCCTGCCGGTGTGCGGCAGCTCACAGACGCATTTGTAATCGTTGACAAGGTCGATGCAGGATCCGCCGTTCTGACAGGGATTGTTGGCGCAGTCGTCGATGTTGGTCTCACAGTTGGTCCCGGCGTAGCCAGGTAGGCACTTGCAGCTGTAGCCATTGAGGTGGTCGTTGCACGTGCCGCCGTGCTGACAGGGATTCGAGCCGCATTCATCGATGTCCGCCTCGCATCTCTTGCCGCCGTAACCGGGCAGGCAGTGACAGAGGAACTGGTTCACCCCGTCCTCGCAAGTGCCGCCATTCAGGCAGGGCGAGCTCGCGCACTCGTCCACGTCGCTCAGACACCTGGCGTCGTAGTAGCCGCGCGGGCACTCGCATCGGAAGCCGTTTATCACGTCGATGCAGCGGCCCCCGTTCGCGCACGGGCTACTCGCACACTCGTTTATGTCAGTCTCGCAGTGCTGGCCGGTGAAACCGGGCTCGCATTCGCAGGAGTATCTGAAAAACGAGTTTTTTTTTTCATTAAATTCGCCTTACTTATGTTATACTTATCAAAAATGCGCTCCACTTTTACAATAATAATTTTTTCACCTTGAGTTTTTCATATAAAAATTTGATGAATTTTTTCAAAACAATTTATCGACAAAATTTATATTAATGTGTCCATTTATATATTTTTATATACAGGGTGTTTTTAAATAAGCGTGAAAAACTTTGAGAATTCTTTGTCGAAAATTGAGGGAGATTTTTCATATAAACAAAAAGGGATATGAGAATTATTTTTCTCAAATATTGGACAAACTACAAAAAAAAAATGAAATTTGGTAAATATTTTTATTAGGAAAAAAATATTAATATTTTTTTAAATCTTCTCATATTCTTATAAAGGAATGAATTTAACAACCCCTATTTAATTTTTTATTAGAACTCTTTAACTGACCGGAATGTGATCATTTAAAAATATGCATTAGAAAGCTCGATTGCTTTAGAAATTTTTTGTTTGTTTTATTTTGTTCGTAAAATCGATAGTTTTCAAGATAAAAAATAAAACTAATTTCCACATCCCTTTTTGAAGAAGTCAGGGAATGTATGTTTAAAATTCTTCTTAATTTTCGACAAAGAATTATCTCCTAAAATTTTTCGCACTTATTTGGAAACATCTTGTATAATTGTACATATATTTTTTAATAGAAAAAACTATAAAGAAATATGTATAATTTTTTATAATTAGACTCATTCCCAAAATTTAATATACATATAAAATTGCGAAAATACTTTTATATGTACATATATACATATATAATATTTAAAAAAATCTTTTATATATATGAATAAATTTTCTTTACATTCTTGAAAAGAACCTTTAAAATTATTATATTTTTTTATACATAATTATTTACCTGTTGATACCATCGATGCATCTGGCGCCGTTCCTGCACGGATTGCTGTAGCACTCGTTGACGTTGACCTCGCAGTTGATGCCAGACGTACCTGGTCGGCAGATACACTGATAGCCGTTGATGCGGTCTTCGCATCTGCCGCCGAACTGACACGGATTGCTCTCGCATTCGTCTATTTGCGTTTGACAGAGCTTCCCGGTGAATCCCGGAAAGCAATTGCAGACGAAACTGTTCTCGCCATCGATGCAGGTTCCGCTGTGACAGGGATTCGACGCGCAGTCGTTGATGTTGGTTTCGCAGGACGCCCCGGTGAAACCGGGCGGACATTCGCATGTGTATCTCGCTATGCCGTCCTGGCAGGTACCGCCGTTCTTGCATGGCGAGGAAGCGCAGTCGTCGATGTTGATCTGACAGTGTGACCCGGCGAATCCGTCGGCGCATCTGCATTTGAACGAGTTGATAAGGTCGCTGCAGACGCCCCCGTTCAAGCACGGCCTGGCCGCGCATTCGTCTATGTCGATTTCGCATTGCGTGCCAGTGAAACCTTGAAACAGAAAGGTATCATTTATAAGACAAATATATTAAAATTTAATATATATTTTTAATATATATTTTTAATATATATTATTTAGTATATCAAGATATTATTTAATAATTAGGGAATATATCAAGAGATTAAATAATATTAAGGGAAGATAGGAAGATAGAAAAATAGATAGGGAGAAGAGATTAAGATATAATTATTTAATTAATATAGAGAGAGAGAGAGAGAGATAGAAGGAAAGAATGAGAGAGAAGAGAGAGAGAAGGAAATAATTCTCTCTCTCATATATATAATTATATATCTTAATATATTAAATAATATACATAATTATTATAATTATTAATATCGCATATAAATTTAATATAATCATAAAAACCTAGGATTATAATAATTTATAACAATTTTATACATTATTGAGTTATAATTAACAATATTATTTTAATGTTTTTATTTCAGAATTAAAATTGCCTTCTTTATTTCTCAGCCATGAAAAGAACGAATCCACGTGTTTTCACGCGCTTCCGCATGATGATATTTCTGGCGGTCCCTGCACCAGGTGGTCTTAATGGCTAGGTTTCTTCTTTTTTTTCCCTCCAACATCGTGTAGATATATAATACGTGCTCATTCATATACAAATTGAGTCGGGGCGAGTCGCGCAGTTGTGTTATAACGCTAAGTCGCGACGGAGGAAAACAAGGAGGGAAAGAAAAACGAAGAAGAAGGAATGGAATGTATCACGCACGCGACGTATCTCACTACAGGTGGTCTAATTACATTGCATTGAGGGAGAGATAAGCCTGAAGAAGCGAGGCAACTGTGTGCCAGCATGCAAAAAAACGTGTGTACTTTCGTATTAGAAATTTCACTCATTTCTTCGATTCTAAAAGTTTCTTTAAAAAATATCATAAAATATTCAGCAACAGAATATTATTGTTAAACATTGCATATCTGAGAAGAAAAAGACGCGAAAAAATAAAACTTGCGCAAAATAATGTCTTACCTCGTAAATAAATAAGAATATGTGATTTAATGTCGATCGAATTTAAATAAGTAATCGCTGAAGAAGCTCGAAGCGGTATATTACTAAATTTTCTTGTCCTCTGTTATTTATATACATATATATTTTAGGATTTTTATTTATACTAGATGTTATGTGTGTGAAACGGTTTGTTGTTTTTAATTATTTTGCACGTGTGTACAAAAGAATAATTAAAATTAAAATTCGTTTTACGTGACTTGTCAACAGACATCATAAACATCGATCAGCTGATCTTCCTATCGATATATAATGTTCTTCTCATTAAAACGATATTATCGAGTCTTCAAGCTCGAGTTACGATAGTGGAAAAAATATCGTCTAACAGACGTATAAATAAAATACATAAAATTAAATAAATAAAATCCCGCTCGCGGTGTTTATATGACCTCGAAATAGGAGAAGGCTGGAGCAAGAACGACAATTGTTAACGCCGGTAAGCAGTTTATCGAAGAATGATTCTGCAAAGTCGCGCATGAGAGAATCTCGCCTTGAGGAACATTCCTCGTCAACTGGATGACGCGCAAATTTTTATCATATTTACATTCAGTCGATATTTCTTTCTTTTTCGTTCGTCCGCATGGACAATGATGCAGCTAATTCTTGTGAATGCATGTACACAAAGCAGTCGATCTTTCTTCGCTTGAATCTTAAAGTCTTTCTTCGTTATATGAATCCATGCGTGATGATGCATCGAATGTTGATCGCGATATTTAACATAAATATAATTTTGTGTCGCAATAAATTGATTTTTAAAATAAATATATATACTATAATAAAATTAAAATAAAAATATTCTATAATAAAATTATTTAAGAGTACGAAATAATATATGAACGGCCTTTTTGCTTTCAAAACTTTAAAAAATCTTTGTTTTCTGTAAAGTTTGAAGACGTCTATTTCGTAATAAAGATTTTCTTTTTTCATTATATTAAAAAATTGAAGAAACTCGATTTCCAGCTCTTTATTCGGCCATTCAGCTTTAGGTTGTTAAAAAATACCGGCTCATCTTAAGCATTCTTGATCGATGTTCGAGAGAGACCCTTCACTCTCGCGTGTATTATTTTCAATTTACATACCAATATCCCTATTGGATAGGAATGTCGGAATTATTAAAATATGTTTTAAGACGCGAGACCACAAAAACATTTTTCAACGCTATCTTTATGTCTCTCAAAGGAATTTTCGATTCAACAATTTTCTTAATAAAATTCCTTTAAATAAAATGTCATTTTTCCTCGAGATACTAAATTAATTTTATTAAACATTATAGACCAAGATTTAAATTTCAGATCATATTATTATGTATTTTAAAAGTGCTGTTTTTTTAAAAGATTAATTTGATGTAATTATAATCCACAGTATATATGTATTAAAAAAATATAAAACCAGTTGCAAAGTTTCACCTGTGAAACTTTTTCACACAAATAAAATTAATAATTATTATTATCATATACCTACAACACGCTGTATTTTATTCTGCAAAAATAGACAGAGAACAAAGGGTTGTCAATATGAAATAAACGGCTACAAGCTGATGCGAAAGGCCCCCGTGTAATTAATCTCAAATAATCTCAATTTTCTCGACGCGGCGCTATTATTAACAAAAGGAGGCGCTTCGAAGACATTAATTTACTTAAGGATCGCCGCCAAGAGATCCTTACAGGATCCCTGCCGAATCCCGCAAAGAAGGGGGAAGAAATATTCGCTCTCGCGAGAGAAGCATCCCCCTTTTTTTAGCTTCTCCTCCTTTTTACGAATCCCGGTTCGCCACGCGAGTCTGGATTTAGGTTTAGGAGCTGCTATTATCTTTCGTTGAGCAAGGATACGTCTATCCTACGATCCACGCCTCTCTACTAATGCTCGCTTGTCAATTCCATCCGTGGACCAAATGAATAGTTGCATCCGATTCATAAATATCGCTGTTGCACCACCTGATTCGCTTGCAACGATGATTTCGACTGTCGGATAGAAACTCGAGCAGTATCGACTTTTTGCAATACACGATTGGGATCCTATTCATTAGTTCTGTTTTACCGACTTTAAGTTAGATTAGGTTTACTTTTTATTGAATATACAGATTGAAAAATCCTTCACAATAAAGTATTATTCTTCTGTATTATTCTTTCATGTCATCTCTATTGGGAGCGCCATATTTTGTGCACAAATAAACTGCAGAACTTTTATATTAAATAACTATTGTTATGAGCTGATGCAAGAGGCCGATAAAAAACTGTAATTTTTTAACTTTTATGGTTTTTTTTATACAAAATTACAGCACTCCCCGTTCATTATTATAAGTATTTTAATTCTGGAGAAGAAATTTTCAATCTGTATAGCAATAAAAAGAAAATCCCTTGAGCTCAAAGTTGATAAAACAGTCATGGTCAGCATCCCCTAAGTCTCTAGCAAGCATCTGCAAAAGCCATTTTGAATCCTGAAGTGACATTACTCATCCATGTGTAATCTGAATTTTTTCTTTTTTTATGTGTCAACAATTCTTTGAAAATTTAAATTTAATGATTAATAACTTGCATCTGCTTTCAAATAATTCATAAAATTTTCTGTTTTCAAATAATTTATAAATATTTTAAAGAGTACTGATATTATTAAAATATTATTAAAAAATTAAACAATTTTCTATGAAACTTACACAAGACCGTGATACAAAAAAGAGATCATCAATAAAATTACATAAAATTTTAAAAAACATCCATTTATATTGGTCAATAAAATTCTCACAATATTTCACATATGCAATTATATGAAAATATAATTATGATATAATTTGAACATAAACTCTTCATATTTTTACATGAAATAATAAAATTTAAATTAAATAAAAAAATTAAGTAAAAAACTGTCGATATACGGATGACTGTCCGATAGATATATAGATGACAAAAAATCATCAGTTTAATCTAAAAAATCATCCCTGAATCAATTTAAACGGTAGGTAGGAGGAAACAATGCAGAACCGAGCGAAGCAATTTATTTCCGGGAAGGAAACGCGCGGAAAGGAGAGTGTGGGAGAAGAAGCGGAGCGAGATCACGTGCGCCGGAATGATAATGAAGATGATGAGACTGCGAGGGACTCTCTTTTCTGCCGTTCCGCATCTCGAGAGACTGCACAGTCTGTGCCATTCGCTGCAATTTCGACTTGGATCAATTCCGGGTTCGACTAAGCGACCTAGCGGTACCGAGATTGTGAAGCAATGCGGATTTTTATTCCGTCGGATCGTTCTGTCAGAAATTTTGACTAATCGATATCGATTTTCGGCAAAGACGGGAGCGTAGATTTTTATTAAATTAAGGCGAATTAAATCGACTCTTTTTTATCCTTCACCGGATATCCAAAGAAACTTTATATCGAAGAATGTTCGATATCTATCAACTGTTACAAATTGTCGCAATAAAATAAAAATAAAAAACAAAAAACAATTTATAAATATTTTAGAATACTAATTTACCAAAATATATTATTAAAAAATTAAACAGTTTTCTATGAAACTTGTATAAGACCTTGATACAAAATAAAGATCATCAATATAAAACTATATTAGAGTTTAATAAAAACTTAAAAACTATTCCAAAAATATGTTTCTCAAATGCTATTAAATATATCTAATACAAGACCTTAAAAAACTAACCATAGTCTATTTATAATTTAATAATAGATACATTTTCCTTTAAATAACATTTATAAAATCAAATCAATTCTTGAAAAAATTCTCTGAGTCTCAATAAAACTCACAAAAATTCCAGGATTCTTCAAGGTAAAAAATTCCTGACAATTCCCGATTTTTGCAGAGAGTACACATCCTGATGTCAAAAACACGCAGTTTATGGACCCATACGTTGATGAAAAATTATGCATTGACAGAAGAGTTAAGAGATTCCTTTCTCTCGAGGCTGCGCAAGATCTCGCCAATCGATCGTGCGAGATCGATCGATCGATGAGTA